TCAACTGGGATTCCAAAAGGAGTTCCCATTAGTCACAAAAATTTTGTTGAAGTTGTCAAATCTTTTGTTGTTGTTGACATGTTCAACAGCCAGGATGTGGTCATTCAGATTACTCCGTGCTCATTTGATGTTCACGCAAAGGAACTTATTGGCTGTTTGATAATTGGATCAACATTGGTCATGTTAAAACCTCACGGTATACTCGACATGTTCTATTTGTCTGCAGTTATTGAACGCACAACGGCGACCTATTTGCACATGGTTCCAACCTTGATGATGATGTTGACTGAATATATATCATCAACAGCAGAGAGGGCTGATGCTCTGCAAACGTGTCGAGTATTTGTCACAGGAGGTAGAAGACAAATTTTTTGTTGTCCTTTACTATTTTTCAATTGTATGATTTTCTTTATTGCTAGGTGAACCTGTTTTGTTGAAACACGTAAGGAAACTGGCGTCTTACCTTCACCGCAGTTGTATAGTTTACAATGTTTATGCACCAGCTGAATGCACAATTGCTGCAATTTATCATTCTATTGTTTTTGAGAGAATTAATGTGCCAGTAATTCCGTTGGGTCGACCATTGCCTGGTCGAAAATGTTGTATTTTAGATGAATACCTTCAACCAGTACCCTTGGGGTCGATTGGTGAAATCTTTATCGGCGGAATTGGCATCTTTAGTGGTTATTTAAATAATTGTTTTATTGAAGATCGATTAACTTATATCACAGAAAAACGTGAAAAATATTATAAAAGTGGTGACTTGGGTAAATTCGATACCAACAGTCAACTTCATTTCTGTGGTCGTGTTGACTTCCAAGTCAAATTGAGAGGACAGAGAATTGAAATTGGAGAAATTGAACAAACAATAATGAATTCATCTGCAAATGTGTCCAATTGTATCGTTGTGAAATGTTACAATGATGAACAACAGCAAGAGTATTTAGTTGCCTATGTGCAGTCAACAACACAGACAGTGACAGAGAAAAATATTAGAAGTTATTGTCTTTCGTTACTGCCTGTTTATATGGTACCATCCGTGTTTATTCTGTTGGATAAATTTCCACAAAATAAGAACGGAAAGCTCGACAGGAAACAGCTACCAAAGCCCGACTTATGCATACTGATACGAGAAAACGAAAAAAATGAGCAAGATTATAATGAAAAAGCTAAAACAAATTTCGAAAAACAGGTTCACAACTTGTGGTGTCAATTGTTAGATTTGAAACAAGTATCATTGAACTCAAATTTTTTCTCTATCGGAGGTAGTTCATTACTATTGATTAAACTATTTTACTTATATCAAAATCAAAATAATTTTCTTAACAACAGTATTTCTTTGTTTTTTAAACATTCAACATTGCGAGAACATATTGAACTATTGGATGATAAATATGATCGACCATTACATATGGAAAAATGGAAATCGTTTAATATCGAAGAAGGTAAAACGATTTGCTTGATAATAAAGTCTATCTTCTTCTGTTCTGAGAGTTTTGCTGGAAACCATAAAATATAAATCAGATGATCAGATACTAGCTCCACCGTATGTCGAAAGCAATGTTCACCTTAACATCATTTCGTAGCTGCAAGGTTTCTCGGTAACGAAACAAGATCCAGGATCAATATACTGCTCGAGCGTCATGATAGCCATTGGGAACGATGCCAAACTTACAGCCACCTACAGAAACCAAAAAGATATTCCCTCTATGCACTTTTGTAGATCCCACCTTGTGCTACAAGCTTCTATATCCAACGCCTCCATCTGCCACTTACTAGCGGAGAAAAAATCGACCTTTCATCAGTTTCTACTACTTTTCGACTTCGATGTCTTCCAGTATTTTGAACCGTGTGTCCCACAGGATAGGTGACCAAGCGTCAACGTTTGCTAGAAATTGCGCACAAGGCAGAGCTACAAAGTTTACTATTTGAAAGTTCTCCTACTGGGGGGAGGGGGGGGGTCATACCCAAAATGACCTCGCATTAATATCTGAAGTCCAATTTTAACGTCGTTTTTCCTTGTTCAGTTTTCGTTATTTTACGTACCACTTGTCAACAAAGTCTAAATTTAAGATCATATTTGAGTTCAGCGTGAAAAGCTGAGTCGAGCAGACTATACTAGAAATATTTAGACGGTCTTATGGTAGCTTTACTGAGCATATACCTGATTACAAGGATGGCTCATATATGCGATCCTATACTTTGGCCCTTCCAGCTCCAAAGCTCCCTTGTTTTACCAATATAAATACGCAGTTTTGTAGAGCTCATATAGGGCTACACGATGCATTATCTTAGTTTTACTTTTGAGTGAGTAAATATGCCAAAAGCGTCTCTTTGGCGAGGAGCCATGAACTATTCATGAACCTATGAATATCTGAGAAATCCAATACGCATGTCTCATCTCAACATTGACACTCAAAACTTCGTCACAGACATATTTTTAGACGCTCTTTCTACTGATGCCCGCAAAACATCAAAATAATAAATCCAACTATAATAGGTTTTCTACAGACCTCCTCAAAAAACAACGGATTTCAGAAATAAAATTTCGCACTTTTGACCATCAAGAATTGTAGCCCATCTGAAATTGCATGTCTGTTAAAATTTTTACCCTCCTGCACTTCTGGAGTGAGAAGATAAACCGTTGTCAGAATCATGAAAAACCAACGACACAATAGTATCTGAATGCCCTCCAGTATTTGGTTTCGTATTCGCTCAAACAAAAACTTTTCCATATGAATATTTCAAGAGGGATACAATTTTAGATGGGCTACAATTCTTGATAGTCAAAAGTGCGAACTTTTATTTCTGAAATCCGTTGTTTTTTGAGGAGGTCTGTAGAAAGCCTATTATAGTTGGATTTATTATTTTGATGTTTTGAGGGCATCAGTAGAAAGAGCGTCTAAAAATATGTCTGTGACGAAGTTTTGAGTGTCAATGTTGAGATGAAACATGCGTATTGGATTTCTCAGATATTCATAGGTTCATGAATAGTTCATGGCTCCTCGCCAAAGAGACGCTTTTGGCATATTTACTCACTCAAAAGTAAAACTAAGATAATACATCGTGTAGCCCCATATGAGCTCTACAATCTACCTATCCTGTGGGGCACACGGTTCAAAATACTGGAAGACATTGAAGTCGAAAGGTGGCTGTAAGTTCGGCATCGTTCCCAGTGGCTATCATGACGATCGACCAGTATATTGATCCTGGATCTTGTAAGCTTCGATGAAAACGGGATTTCTTCTATACCGTTCGACGCGCCGTGAGCTGTTCTACAATAATGCATATTTGGTTTCTTGGTTCAAGGGGTCGGCAAATCCGACAGGGTCCTTTGCTCTTCGTGTCAAGAATTCAAAGTTGTCAAAGTATAAGCATCGGTAACATTAAGCATTTAAAATCGATCCATTTTTCACTGGCAGACTCTTTTTTTCTTTGTCAATGTCTGAATGTACACATAAGAGACTCGTCCCACTCATACAGAGTTATCTCACAGATTCTGCCATGACGGGAGATGGATAAAATGGGAATGTCTGTATTTAGACCAAGAGCTTTGTATAGTCTGAATTATGGACAGAATAAATACTATTCGTAAAAGAAGCTGTGATTTGCGTTTGCTTTCTGGACGTAAAACATACGTTCTGAAGTATAAAATATACCCGAAAAATTAAGAATAGAAATTATTGGAATCTGATAAGATCTCTGACTATTAGTCATTTTGACATTTGAAATCCAATTTTGAGTCGTGTTAGTAAACGAAAATTTTCATAGCCTTCATAAAATTTCTACATTCTCGTTTCTTTGACTTCAGAAAGGCAGCTTCGAGATCGTTGAGATTTTCACGATTCAGAGACAGTTGTGGAGGATATATTATTTGTTTGTTATGATTAAATTTAACGTCTGAGTTTATCGTTTGGAAACCGTAAATATAACAAAATGTGGCATTTGGAGATTTACATGCTGAGTACTTTTTCTGGTGTTTTTCTCCATAGGTTAACCTCAAATTTGTACAAAAATAAAATAGCCAAATAAGGACCAAGATCAGTGCTTGTTCATTGCCATACTAGTTGTCTGACGAATAAGGATTGTGTCAATAGTAAAATAACTATTTTCGACTAAGAGTCTGATCAGTTACCCAAAAGTGTCCCAATTGCTTCTTGTTGACCTTTTCTTTTTGTTTTTATGTACATTCATACACTGTGGAAGGTGGTAATAGCTTTTCTGTGTTATTCACTCCATGCATATAATCAGCAGGTTATAAGAAAACACTAGCTCGTGTTGAGAGTTGAACGAGAAGCAAATTCACGGTTAGAGTAAGGGCACTGGCCTGCAGCACCATAGGAGCGAAGACCTTGTTTCTGGTGTTTGTACATTAAATTTCTTCCAGCCACATACTGTTTCTCGAAGTCTGTTGCTCTCATAAATGTAGAACGAAATGGAACCAGAACCAGACGACGCAGCCTGATGTTTCGTACCCGTAAAAGCTTAAATAATGCATCCGCAGGCAGTTAGTCAAGCATTTTCTGCTGACTTCTACTTCCTTGAATCCGGCAGAAATATCGTTGTTCTTGTATACAACTGTCGATGGGGTGGCTTGAGCATACTCGACGAAATCAAATATAGAACAATACTGATCGCAGCTTTTGCCTAGGATAAAATGTAGGCACGCAGAATCTGATCGCTTCGAATGCTCGTCATAGTGTTTTCCAGATTTTTCTGTACTAAATATGGACTTTGACCGTAAGTATCAAATGAAAATAATAAAATTAAAAAGTTAGTGGAGAGCTCACAGGCAGGGTGGCCCAGATAAAATCGGACACTTTCATTCGTTGTTCATGAGGCATTGTCCGGTAGTCCACTGAGTTGGTTCTAAGCTAAATCGATAGAGAATTGAATTCTCTACAAAATTTGCTATTTGAATCTCTGATAACAGTTTTGTCGTTTGAACATTATTCAAAATATTGAAGAATGCTGAGTTGTCTGACTGCGACAAGCTTTTGTCGTGTCCTTTTTTGAGATTTTTAGCCCTTTATCTGAGGTTCAATAGTCAATTTATCTACGTAGATAGATAGAGAATTTTGTGCTCTATCGATCTCACTTCTTTAAAACTTCATACAATGTTTCTGTTACGCCAGCTAAACTAATAATTAGCTCTCAACAGATTTTTCAATTTTTTCAAATTAAATTAATTTTTTTAATTAATGGTTTCAATTGAGAAACTTTGTTTAAATATGAAACGATGCCTAATTTAAGTCTGCGTAAGAAAATAAGACTAAAACCCTGGATTCACAACATTTTACTGCTTTTATAGGCCCAAAACTAAATTCTTTGAAAAATAGGTTCAAAACTTAGGTTTTACTGGATTTGTCAGTTTTTTGCACAGACAAATTTTCTTTGAAGACTTAACTATAAAATTTCGAAAAATATGTGAGAAGATGCAGAATTTTCCGGTAAATCTTCTGATGTTTTCAAAATTCTTATGAAATCTGTTTTTGGATCAAGACAAATATTTTTCTATTTTCAGTGTGTCGTAGTTAGGCAACT